AGACACAGCTCCTGCAGGAGGCTCTGAAGCAGTCGGTGCCTTCACTGACCTCAGGAGAATATTAAGCCTGAGAGAGGCACAGGTTGTATGAGCTGTTATCTCCAAAATCTTGTGGTCCTAATGAATGATACTTTTCTCTGAGATAGGTGATCGGTAACTGGATACCATTGGTTGTCACTACTACAGGTACTATTTCAGGTCTGTTGAAGTAGTCAAGGGGACCAGGACTGTGTCTTCTCTATTCAGTCCTGAACTGGGCTAGCTTGTTACTGGTAGGCCGGAGGTGCACTTAGCTTGGTAATCTTCAGGCTGAAGCTGGGAAGTCATATTCACTGTTAATAGCTCAGCCATTTTCTTGTGATTATCTCCCAAGTGGTTCTTGGTGGCTGCTTGTCAGGAGCCACTGTGTTGCCTTCCTGTTCTTTGCCCAGCATCTTTCACATAACCTAAGCCAGTGCATTCCTATCTGAAAGTCTAACCACCCAGTACAGCTGCACAGGAACTGTCTCAGTGACCAGTCACAAACTGTATCCATACAATTACTGCAGACTGGCATCCTGAGAATATTCCCTGGGGGCCCCATGTCCACCATAGCAGGCACTGGACACATGTGCAGAAGTCACACAGAATTTCCCATATGGTGCTTAAGATACCGATCTGGGTTCAGGGGAAAACATACCAATCCCCAGAGAGGGACACTGTGGACAGGTTTCCCACATTAAAGGACTGCACTAGGGAGCATGCTACCCCCTCCAAAAGGTGTAATATGGTGCTGGGCACAACCTGTGCACTGTCACAGGGGTGCCTACTAGTGTGTGAACAGCATGGCAGCAAAGACAGCTATATTATATCAATCAGGGCACAGCACACATGGAGCAGGCACATTGTGTGTGATCCTTTGACCATATACTCGTGCCCAGGCAAGTGAAACAAGGCATTTTCTGTGTCTCTGCTAAGATTTCTGTGGCAGATGTAGCAAGATGACCTCACAGGGGTCATTAGAGAAGGACAGAATAATGGCTTTCTGAGAGAAATGCAGGAGCCTTGAACACAGAAGGTAGGGTCAAAGGAGCATGGGGCAGGGCCAGCAGGCTGTTCCTGGCACTTTCCAGGTTACTCCACATTGTTCCAGTAAGTTACCCTTGCTCAACGTTTACAGAGAAATAAATCTAAAAATATGGAGTGGCACTCCATTCAGCCACCTGGAATGAATCAGACATTCTGCTACAGGAGCCAGAAAAGACGGTGACCCTTGGTAGATGCTACAGATGTCATGAAGGAATTGCAAAGGTTTTGCTGGGGTTTGTAGATAATCTTTTTAAGCGTTTCCCCAACTCTATCCCAGCTGATTCACTGTTCAAAAAGGACTAGAGAAACATTAAAACATGCTTTGGCATGAAGATTATTGACTACTACTTACTGTGGTAGCTATTAGACAGCAAGCATGTGCTTTGTGGAATAGCAGAATGGGAGTGATGTGGGCCTTTTGTGCTTTGATGTGTACAATTTTAATCTCATAGTTGACCATGCAGCTGTACTGACAAAATCGGCCTCCTCTCCTTGTGTGAGGACAGCTCCTATTTCAGGTACACAAAAGGAATGCTACCACTGTGCTTTGGTAGAGAGGCTGGTAAAAAGTCATGAACTGCACCTCCCCTTGAGTAAGCAGTCAAGAAAGTCACATAGGCTCCTGTTCTAAGAGGACTGTGGATCGCTGGAACGAACAAGTGACATGCATGTGCTTTTGGTGCTGCAGAGTGACAGTGCAGTGCTCCACCCACAACAAGTAGGCAAGGGAGAGGAAAATTACTTTGCACACAAAAAGCAGGAAGAAGTACCAGGCATGAAATGATCTTAATAATGCCCAAACATGGCTGTGCTATGCAAATATCCAGTGTAAGTTTGGGCTTCCCTTATTGGTGCTAATTTTTAATCCACTTACTGCACAGATTTGGGGGTCATGCCCAAATACTCCTCAAAGTCGTCTTGGTTCCCACCTTCCACAGCACAGAACCGAGAGGTGATACAAGGCAGAAATGATGGGCTTGAGGCACAAACCACTGTGTGAAATTACCTGTTCTGAATGATTATAAGGGTCCGTTCTGCCCTTGAAATCCGATAGGCAATTGTGGTGTGGCTTTGCCAGGCGGAGTTATCAGGGCTTTAGTACTACCAGAATCTCCTAACAGAGGAGGCATTTTTGAGGATCTGATAAGAATATCACTGATGAATAAGGCAATCAGGACTCGTAGTAGAGATGATATCGTTTATTAGACCAATGAAAAAAAAAATTGCAAAAGTCTTGTTGGTCTAATAAAAGATATCATCTCTACTACAACTCCTGATTGCCTTTTCCTCTAGACCAATACTGCTACAACCTGGATACCTGTCACTGATGAACAGGCACAGATCCACTGCTTGCCTTAGGCTGTAACTGGAGTTGGCCTGTGCTGGGTATGTCCTGAATTTACCTAGCATGACAGTGAATCATCATGCCCGGCACTCTGCAATTTCCTTTACCATATTCCTTCTCTGCCAAGGACCTTTCTCTCTTATAATATTCTTTTACTTTCCCAACACAGCCACTTGAAAGTACACGATAACCTTCCAACTAAGTTACTGTATGTCTGAGGACATGTTGTGGTGCAGCTGCTCACAGATTTCAGCAGGTTTTGGATCCGGCCATTCTTCACTTACAAGCAGAGGCATGCTTGCAAACCAGTATGAGGGGTTAGCTCTCTCACACTCACAAAGTAACTGCTATGTCAACACCTGCTAAGGTATGGTACAGCTGTTAGTCAGTAGATCAGCGCCAGACATTCTATATAGAGCAATGGAGTAAAGAAGCATTACAGAACAGACTGAAATAGTAGGATAACAGCTTCCAAGCCAACTGGATCACACTGCACTTTCTTCATTTTTACTGAAATTGATGTCATGCTGAAATACCAGGGCTATATTCTGTCTTCCCTTTCAAAGCTAGATCCATGAAACCTTCCAGCTAAATAGGGTGCCAGACTAACCCCCAACTCTGATCCATGCCTTCCCAAAGATGTTTATGTATGTATGCAACTGCAAGTGGAGCCTTCTGATTAGAGAGAGAGGGAGACAAAATATGGCCTGTGGGCCGGATCCGGCCTGCCACCAAGTTGGATCCAGTCCACGGCTGCCCCCACAGCACTCAGCTTGGGGCCGAGCCCTGCCTGAGGCAGCCTGCACCATGATCCTACCCATGTCTGCTGGCCATAGCCATGGCCCCAGCCCTGGCCAGGGTGCACAGCTTCGTGGTGGGGCTGCTCTCAGTGCAGCTGCAGCTGGTTAGGTACTGCTTGGCTCCCCCTACCTCCATCAGCTGCTCCTCCTCCTCTTCCTCCTGCCCCTGCTGTGTTGTTCTGAGTGGGGGGGAAACTTCAGCATGTCAGGTTTCATCTCCAGCTCCTGGGCAGCTTCCACATGGCCCACCCAGTACAATGAGCAGCTACCTGCAGGTGACCGACTGGCTTGAAGGTGGCCAGAAGCTAGAGTTGAAACCCCATGCACTGGGCCAGGGGCTGCCCAGATGAAGCTTCCCTCTGCCCAGAGCAGTACAACAGGGAGAGGAGGAAGAGGAGGAGGATCCGCTGGAGGCAGGGGGAGCCAAGCAGTACCCAGGTGGGTGCAGCTGCACCAGAAGCAGCCCCGCCAGGAAGCTGTGCGCACTAGCAGGTGCTGGCATGCTCAGGTGGGAGCATGGCATGGGCCGCCTTTGGCAGGAGTAGATGAAGCTGAGCTCCATACAGAGCGCCACAGGGATAACCATGGACCACACCTGCACCACACCCTTCAGGTGAGCTTTGCTGCACGCATCCCCTGTCCCCCCCTCCCTCCCTCCTAGGGACCTAGTGGCCAGGCAGACTCCCACATACACATGCATACCCCCCACCCCATCCTACAATCCCCTCCCACTCCCCCACAAGCATACAATATATTAGTAAGACTTTATTTTGAGCAATTATGCAATAGCTTCTATTACACTACTCAAAAAAACCCCAAAAAAACAAAAATTATTTTTTTGAATAAAATGAAAAGATGTTATAGTAGGTGCTTGAGTTTTAGTATATGATTTTTTTTAAAACTATAATTTGTTGAAATGATATTTTCTGAAGGGTTTTATGTGTGATCCTCAATAGCTCACCAAACTCATTAAGTGGCCCTTCAGCCAAAATAATTGCCCACACCTTTTTCAAATCCATATCACTTTCACAGGGCATCCTGAATCATATGGAAGGCTGGTCCCTTACTTATGTGGATTTCTTTCCTATCTATTCCTTCTGTTTGTCTAGAACATCATAACAGCCCCTTGGGCATTTCAAATGCCTAGCAGCCCAATGTCTGATTTTCAGCATGGAAAACTGCATTTCACATAATTTTTCCTAGCTTTTAAATTGGGGTTTTGAGTCAGGGTTAAAGAGCAGGTATTTAATAAGTGCATGTTGTAGGCCTGGGTCTGCTCCCTGATATGAATGTCAGCACACACATCAGCGTCAATGGAAAGAGACTGAGGCCAACATCAATGGAATATCCCAGCTCAAGTTTTGGGGGTTGGCTGACTCCAAAGTTCTCAAACTCTTATGGCCTTCCCCAATTTCAAAGTCTACTCCAGGGCTCACAGGGACTGGGCTCTTGAAATTTCTCCTGCAGACTTTTATCTGCCCAGTGATACTTTCTGAACCAGGAGCACAAATCAGCTAGAAGTGAGAGATGCATAGTGAAGTGGAGAAAATTCAGCATATTTCATTTTTAAATGGCTATGGACAGAAGATGTTCATTCAATATAAATGAATCAGTATTGACGATGGTGGCAGTAGCTGCTACTTCTGTTTCTATGGCACAATCCCCTGGATAGTTTTAATAAACAATGTGATAGAGTTTCCTTTGCAGAGAGCAGAAGTAAAAGCTGAAGCAAAAAAGGGATCTGAGCTGAAGGTATTAGTGTCCTCCTGGAGAGCAGCAGTCGAGAGATGTACTCCTCCGGCTATAGTACCATAGTAACTGCAGTCGATATACAGTTTGGAGCAGGCTGTGGCCAGGTGCTGGTAAGTATAGTGGTTTTCTCTATTATAGAGATTATTTTTTATAAAACAGACTTTCTTATGTAGCACTGAAAAAAATAAGGGGCAAGAAACTGAATCCAGTGGGCTTGTGTCTGATTCAAAACGTCTTTTACAAGAGGAAATGCATAGGAAAAAGGAAAGAATAAAACTGATTGTCCAGTATCCTAGCACTAGAATGAAACCTGATGAAAAGTCATTTGTTTTTCATCGTGGCATATTTCCTCCCAGGAAAAGTAAATAATATATATGCACATTTAAATGTTAACTAAAGACAGAACAAAATGTTCAGCAAGTTCTCCAGCCTATGGGCACTGTCATTATTACCTGTTTAGAGCAAGGGAAGACACTGTCAATAGATGTTTTGAAGTAATTACATTTCCAACGCACAAAGTCTCAGCATGTGATTGCATTTTACTGCCAATTCAAATCTGGTCCTGTTTTTGCAAAATGTTTGTGTGTGATGGGATCTGTGAAATGGGTCCTTGCTGGAAACATCTCATTTCACTGCAAAAAACTTGCAGCACTTCAGAAGACTGCATGTTTTTCAGAGGCAAATTATACTTTTCACTCAATGAAATGAAGCTTTTCATGAAATTCCACAGTTCTGCAAAGTGCTAATTACAGAGACCCAAATTCAGCAAAGCACTTGAGCACATGCTGATCTTTGAGCACATGAATAGTCCAACAGAGCTCAATAGGACTTGACATTTAGGGACGAAATTTTCCAAAGTATATAAAGAGTTGTTTTTGAAAAGAGCAACATATCTTCTGCTCCTAGTTCTTGTAAGTGCATTTGAAAATCCTCCTCCAAACACTGAGGAGGATTACCTTGCTGATCCCTACCTTTCATAATGGCATTTGTATGTGTGGTCCTTGACAGAAGTATTAGAAGACACAATGCCTGTAGAAGGTATTTTCAACTGAAATAAAATAATTTAATTAAAAACAACATATAAAAGAAAAGGAAAAGGAAACAGGCAATAGTAAACAATAGGGAAGGCAATACTGCTAGTGGAGAGTTGTTTTAAAAGCAGACCTTATATCATATTTTTTTAAAAATACATTAGAGCAATATTATGTGGGTTGCAAAGTCAAGTCCCTGAGAGTTAGGAAATGTGAGGTTCATAATTGCTTATGCAAACTTAATGGGGTTCTCTTATCCATCCTATGCACTGAATGAGGCAAGGGTGCTGTAGGAAGCAGCAGGTGGTCATGTACCTACATTTCTAAGTTTCTTTTAGTACTGTGTAAGTTCCAGCGTCTCTTTCCATTGACGCTGATGTGTGTCCTGACATGCATATCAAGGAGTAGACCCAGGCCTACAACATGCATTTATTAAACTCCTGCTCTTTAACCCTGACTCAAAACCCCAATTTAAAAGCGGGGAAAAAGAAAAGGCATTTATGTTGCCCAGTGGCTCTTGCCCTACCTAATTTCAGAAGCCTGTTGCAAGCCTTGAAGAGGAGCCGTCTTGGGGAAGAGTCACAAGAATCTCTGACTACAGGAAGTAATAGATAACTACATTATAAGGGTCCCTCCCAGCTTCTTCTATTGGGGCTTGCAACCTATGGCCTGTGGAGCTATTTGATTCAGCCTGTTAACTTAGGGCTTCAGGAGCCAAATTAATCCAGTTCAGTCAGAGGTGGGCTGACACAGAGAGGATGGGTACCAGGACCCAGCCACTGCTGCCGCCATTTTTCCCAGTGACTGAATCAGGGACGTACCCGCCACTGCCGCTTTTCCCCACAGCAGCATAGGAAGTGTCCACAGCTGGTACTTCTTCCTTCAATAGCAGAGGGCTTCAGCAGCAGTCACCTTCCCCTGCTACAGTCACTTTCCCCTGAACGCCAGTTGTGGACAGTCTCCCCACAGTGTTGCAGGGAAAAAGGGCAGTGGGCATTTCCCTGTGCAGCTCCTGGGTGGTGATGGCAGCTGGGTGCTAGCTCCCAGTGCTGTAGCAATGAAGTTTGGCACCTGGGGTAAAGACTGCAGCAGCAGCCTGCCCTCACCCCGTCCACAGATATGAGTGGGGGGCACATGCCCCGCCATGTTTTCTGGGGAATACACGCAGCAGGAGGAGTCAACCTCCCCCTGTCCCTGTGCCCCCACAAATGAGCTGCTTGTGGCTCTGTCCCATGCTCCACCCTGCCTGGGCAGTGCACCTCTTCGCTTTGTCACCTGGGGCAGTCACTCCATTCACCACCCCCAACCCCCTCCGCTCTTGCTATGGCACTGCTATCTCCCATCCGCTGCACACCAGCCCACCTCTGATCCAAACTGGGTCAATCCAGCCTGTGGCAGGAAAAGTTTGCTGAATAGCCTCATCTGATGTTTATTCACGTTTATTTTTATTCACCGTAGCCAACAGATCAAGTTGTGGGGATATGAACTACTTAGTAGTCCACACTGTGACCACTAGTGAGTAGTTACTTGCATGAGTAATCTCAGTGCCTTCAATAGAACTATGCACTCAAATACCACTGGCCCTATGTGAAAAATATTATTGTTGTCATAAATACCCTAGTTGTACAGCCCCAAGAACTTGCACTGCCTTCAGCATGAGTTCCAGGCACAGAAGGCATTCAGGACTGGCTCCAAAATGGGGCCCAAAGCTGAGGATGCAGTGTCCTCAAAACCCGTAGTGCGTAGTCTCATGGGAGATTCTGAGTGCCTTGTACTGAGTTTGATGTTTAACATAAAGTCAGGTGCCACAGAAAGAAAGATCATTTCAGGAAAAGCAGAGTGAGCCAGATCCTTGGGTATTTTGGGGCTGCTGTCAAAGCTATGTATGCCACCCAAGAAGATTGCCTCTTTCAGGAAGCAGATCATTACCTGCCTTTCACTTTCTGCTCTGAGCCAAGGCTTCAGATTTCTGCTAAACATCTGCAGCTCCCATGAAACCCTCCATAAAATCACTCTCATTGCCTTAAGAGTAAATCCCAGTCTAAATTAAGTCAAAGGCAAAGCTCTCCATTGAGAGTAGATTTTGACATTGGTAATGAGTGAGTAAAACATTCTGTTTTCCTCTTTGCCTTACTTTTCTAGAGAGGAGCAGCTTGTTTGAAGAAGAACATGTTAGACTCCTATTTTCTGAAGGAGGTGGATGATGAACAGGTAAAGTATCTGAGCCTAGGGTGGGAAGCTGAGGGCCGAAGGCAAACCATTTACAACAGAAAGACTCCCATTGACATCAGTCTGTTTTGGATCTTGCTCTCGGGTTTGGAAATTTCAGGTACCTTCAAAACTGTACATGTGTATTCACTGCTTTGGAATTAAATGGATGCTGTAAAGCAGGGAGAAGATTAGCACCTGGAATCCCCAGTGACCATTGGCATTTTGAAGGCCATACCACAAGCATGCAAGCATGGTTTCAAGATTCGACAGTTAACTACACAACTTAGTGTATTCCTTCAACAAAGAGCCCTACAGGCACTAATGAATAGCCTACCTGCAGTGTAGGTAAGCCCTGTATTTAGGGACCTACCCAAATCATGACTGCATGGATTTTGTGGAAATCACAACATTGGGTGAGCTCCATGATCTCCGTGAAATCCACAGGAAAAAAAACTTACTAAAAATAAAATGCTGCCTTCCCAGTGGGAGCCAGCGGCCATCCTAGCCGGCAGCCCACCCAAAGAAAGAGCATAGGGAGGCTGCATAAGGGGAGCAGGCAAGATGGCTGCTGCCCACACTCCTCACTGCTGATTGGCTGAGAGGGCTACCTGTCATGCGGCCCTGCCCCTCTCCAATTACTGGTGAGGGGTGGGGCCACATGACAGACAGCCCTCAGCCAATCAGCAGTGAGGGGTGGGGCTATGCAATGGACAGCCTCTCCACCAGTCAGCAGCAGGGGGCAGGACCACCAGGGCCACTCAGCCAGTCAGAGGCATGGGCAGGCCCCAGTCACAATAAGCTCTCAAACACCCCTGCAATCTGCCCATGACATTGGGTGGCTGCCTCCTTGAGTTGGGTAGACCCCTATTATATTGCTTATTTTGCAGGTTAAAATGCTGCAGCAGAGATGTTAAATGGCTTGAGGGAGACCACAGAGAAAGATCAATGGCAATGTCAAAAGTAAAATGTAAGACCTCCTGGGGTCTCCTCTCCTTGCAGCATTAGACGAGATCTTTTTTTGGCACCTCTAAATCCTGGTTATGAAATGCTTACTTGCCACTGGATTCAATACAGCACATACCTTAGTTAGGCACATGTTTAAGTACTTTGTTGAACTGGAACCCAAAAGCTTTGCATATGTAATTGTGAATAACCCTTTGGATTCCAGAGAAATTCCAGTCTATAGGTGAGGTAAAATTTGCAAGGCATTTTTAGGCTTAATTTTAATCATTATCATCATCAGCAATCTCTTGCAGTCAAGGATGATTGTTTTCCATTATTGCCTTATCTGTGGGTCCGAAGATGGCTGACAAGGCCAATCTGGGATCAGTGGGTTGTATTGCAACTTGGGCATGTGTTTCCATGTGAGGTGGGTGGCTCCAGATCCTTGATGTGGTCCTCAACACACTGTTTCTGTCATAGGTATAATACGATTGGTATTAGGTGCCATTCAATTAATTCAGTGGGACTCCGCACATCCTTCTTGCCAAGCATGGGCATGGCTGAGCTGAGGCCTCATAAAGGATACAGATGTGCATGGGTGGTCTTGTTTGGTTTGCTCAAAAAAGACCAGGGATTGAGGAGTGTCAGGAAGAGATAGCAGTCAGATGTATTTTTAATTATGACTTAAATGGTTGAAATCTCTTATAGTCAGGCAACATTTAATTAATAAGCCTCAGAGCTAGGTCTACCACTGATCAGTTGTATCTATATTGTGAGGGATTATTGAAAAAGCTTTGTTTTTTTCTGCTTTATAAATTAGTATTTACTTGCATTGCTATCAACCCTTGCAATGCCCTTGCTAATGCTCTACTACCCTATTTAAAAAAAGGGCCAGTTTTGCCAAAGAGCTCAGTACCCAGCCACTATAAGCACTTAAGTGGACATGTTACCACAACTACCAGCTGAGAACATGCAGACTCCTTTTGTACTAGATAGTCTTTGTATAAAAGGTGGCTTTGACCTCAGTAAAAATGAGTACTATGGTCTTATTCCTGTGCCCATCTATCTACAACACCAAACTACCATATATTATGTCACTGGTGCTCAATTGTTTGGCCTAGCAGCCAAATGAGAGGTACAGGGCCAGGCTGAGTGCTAGATTAGACCCCACACCTCAGGATTGGGTCCACACATCTGGATCCAGACCCTACCACCACTGCTTGGCCTCATGTGCTAGGATGAGTGACCTGGGAACCCAGGCCATCTCTACCTGCACACTGGGATTGGTGCCCTTGGACTCCAGCCGCCTTGGCTGGGCTCTGTGCACCATGATTGGGCCATGCTCTGCCCTTCATACAAGATCTAGCGTTCAAAGCCAGAGCCCATAGGGCTCCCCACAGACCCATGCCTCCCAGCACCTTGTCATTGGGAGGCCGAGCATCCCTGTTCTATGACATTGACCAGCAGCCTTTGTTCAAGAGGGACTCAGAAATTTGATAACATTGGGATGCTGTACGTTAGGATGTGTGTATATTGGCTGCTTGGCAGCTCACATACATAGAGGCTGCTCCGATGTGCATTACAGCACATTGGAGCAGACTTGATTAATCAAATCTGCTGGAGCGTGGTAATTCCCATGCTCCACCAGCCTCCAGCATTCAATGAGCTTTAGTTAAAGTGCCCCCGCTGCCATTTTTCAGCACAGGGACACTGATACATGTAATGGTCTGGGCACTTTAGGTAGAAATTAACCTCTGATTGCTGCTCTAATTAAAGCCCCCCACCTCCCAAAGTAGGTATGTAAGAAATACACTATATGTCTGTCCTCAAGTCTGATACAAGTTACTATTGTGTTATTACCAGTGTGCCACTGCCATGAACACTGTATTCAAACACGCAGTTGAAAAGAAAATTAATCAAAGAATAAAGCTGTTTTGCATGCATCTCCCACAAGATCTGCTCCGAACTTATATTATTTAAACTTTTAAAAGCAACACTGTACTTCTTCTGGAGAAGAAACCCTGTAAAGTGATTGTCATAGGCTCATTTCCTTCCTTTCTTTAGGTGGCCTTGTTTGAATTCAACAAAGGCTGGAAGCTCTCTGGGATCCAAAAGTCGTATTATAACTGTCTAGTTAAAGAACTGGGAGGCTTTGGCACAGACCCTGGCAAATTCATTTGGCCAACCAGTGTGACCATGACTCTGGATGGAGATCTGGCTGTAAAAGACAGTGGAAATGAACAGATTCAGCTCTTCTGCTCTGAAGGTCTCTATAAACATAGATTTTCCTATGGATCTGGGCCAGTAAAAGGTCTGGGAGATATAGTATGTATACAAGATGGCTTGTTGCTTGTGACAGATGGATCCAAAGCTATCAAGGTCTTCTCTAGAGATGGTGAGATGATCCATCATCTAAAATCTCCAGACATGGACTGGAATCATTCCTATGGGATGGCAATCCTGAAGTCCAATGATATTGCAATAACTGACTGGACAGATTTGGGAAAAATGCACATAATTAGGATCGACTTGAGAATGAGTGCTATCACGAGGATGTATGTGATGGATGGGTTCCATAGACCAGAGCACATTGCAGTCAATAAGGTACAGTGCAGAATATCCCAAATCACAAACTACTAACAGCATTATAAATATTTTAGTCGGGGAAGTGCCCAAAACGTGTTAGATGCTTTCCAAACGTAGGAAGGGCACAGTTCCTGCTCTCAAAACCTTACAATTTAAAATGGGTAATAAGTCTTAATAATTACTGTTTGTGAGTTAACAGTTTGTGCAACAAACAGGTAGAAGTGTAAGGAACAGAGCTTTCTTAAACAATTTGCAAGAGCAGGAAGTACATATTCAGTCTTGGTGGTTTCTATGTCACAACCTGCAAGCACTCTACCAGTTTTATGTATCTGGTCACACAAGGGTTGAACCTAGTTCTCCCAATCTAAGTCCAGTGTTTTATTAGCAAAACTGACAGTTTGAAAGGGTGCCTGGGTAGGAAAAACATGAGTGAAGCATAGTGAACCGAGTACGATCTACTCACAGGCAGCCATCACGCTCAAAATTAGTTCAGTTATACCTCAAATAATACTCCTTTTCTGGTGGTGTTGATAACTTTTCTTTGTAGCTCAGCTATACTGTTAGCATGCAAACCCTTGAGTAGCTTTCTGAGTAATTTAACGTCAGCAATAAAGTCAAACCCTTTGAAATTTGATTAGTGCTAACTAGGAAACTATCTTTTTTCCCTCCTTCCTTGTCAGAGAGAAGAGATGCTGGTTACCGAAGGGCAGCTTTTTGGAAAAAAACAAGGCTCCTGTCTCAAGGTCGTGAACAAAGATAGAATTCAGAAGAAGACCACTGGACCAAGCTATGAAAACAGGATCACCTTTGTAAACCCCTCTGGAGTCTGTGTTGATTTTGATGAGAATTTCTTTGTAGCAGATAGAGGACAAAACTACATAGTGATGTTTAATCCTGATGCATCCCTGGTTGCTTTGGTAGTAACTGAAAATTTAGAAGGCCCTTGTACTGATGTTTGAATAGCTCATTAAAGTGATCAAGTAAAGTCATTTTTCTAATCCTAATTAGTTTCCTATTTTTAAGCTTTCCAGATGTGCTGGGATGTTATCTAGACTCTCCTGCAGATAGTCCACCTTCATCTGGAAGTTGAATTGAGAAGGAAGCTAGAATCTAATCAGGGCTGCTTCTTATTCTTTTACTGCAATTGAGATGCAATGAGAGTCACTTAGATATCGCTAGACACTGTAGTTTTGCACATTTTTGTATATATCTATGTAACTCCTAGCCATCTGATTTGGTCAAGTTCTCCCATTGGATTTCTATTGCTATAGGAGTGTCTGTGGAAGGTTACCATGTTTAGGAACCTCACTATCTTCAATATCTTCCCTATAAAAAATTATCCAGAACCAGTTAGGAGCGATGAAAAAACCGGGCAACCATTATTAGAATGCTAAATTATGCATGTGGGAACTTTCTAACAACAAAACTGCCTTCCCCTTGAGAGTCTGAGGAAACAAAGCACTGCCTTTGGCCCAGGGACATTTTCTTTTAAAAAGTAGGACTTGTAATTCAGGCTGTCTATTACAGTTGTACCAGTAGAAATGCAGGATGCTATGCCAGTGTGACAGAGTTATAAAAAAAGCAGTATATGGAAAAATAGCTACTCTTGCTGCTCGGCCAGTCAGCTTTGACTCCTTTCTTCCCCATTAACCATCTGAAACACAGCTAAAGTAAATCACCGATGGGAGCCAGGCTCTATATGCATACTCTTTGCCATAGCTCAGCCTCACAGCACTAGAAATGCCATCCCAGCATGCTGACCGCTGGGTAGAAGACCACACCAGGCATCTGAGCATGATTCTGGCAAATACCATGACTTGGGAGAGTCACTTGAAACCATTATTGGTAAGGAAGCGATATTGGTAGGCTTGGAATCTGGCTTAGAGAGGGAAGGAGAGCTGAAGGAAGGTGGGCCAGGGAAATAGCATAGCTGCAGGTCTCAACCAAAGCAAAAGTAATTCTAGCGTATGTAATCACTTCCATAACAATAACTGAATGGGCCATAACCCAATAACCTGCCCACTTATCCAGACATTCCCCCATGCCAGTAACAAAAATAACTGTGGTTCTGGTCCTGCTGCTGATAACTCTCCAGATTGTTCCTTTGGATTATATTCAAGCAGATCCTCACTACATGGCACAGGTGAAATCCCCAGGCTCCCTGGCTATAGGGTCTCCTCTAGGATGTGTTCCAGGAATTCTGCTCCCTCTCCTGTGATGTCTATATGGGGCCATCTCTACTCCTGTGGTTTCTGGTCTGGAAAACAGATTATCCCTGATCAAAGCCTGTTCTGCGTGAAAGTGGGTTCTGTACTCTGAGCAGGACTCCTCACAGCAGACACAAGTAGGCAGGGGGCTACCAGTTTTGATGCTGGCACCTTTAATTTTCACTACACGGCTTTGAGGATTTTAATTGAGTTCCAGCACTGGGGAGATATTGGCTCAATTCCATTTTCTGGCAGACTCTCAGACATAATCTCCTAAAAAAAATGATTTTGGGTGCATCTCCCCCAAATCATACCCTCAGCTGAATTTAAATCAAAGGGCAACCAGATGCTTGGTGTAATCCTCCAGCCTGCTTGAGGTTCCTATATCTTCTTTCCAGCATAGTTTGACTAAGCTGTGATAAGCAAGGTCTAAAAGGAGTAGGTCAAGTGGACTGAAGGATTATATACAACCTGGCAGGTAATTTCTGGTGCACAGCAGAAAAGTGGGAAGTGAATAGATAGAAAAGCCAGACAATACAGTCCTGGGGAGTTATGGGATGGCATTGGAGGATTACCAAAATTCAAGAACTGTGTAACAGGGTGTCGGTAAACCCTGTTACTTAGGCGTGGACAGCCATGGCTGTCCGAGGACAGGGGCGGGATGGCAGCCGAAGGATTTTAGTTAAGTAGAGCCAGCTGTAGGGAATCCCACGCCGGGAAGGAATCAAGAAGATCATTGTGGAGGTGGAAGACACTGCAGATAAAAAGAGATGACCAAGAAGAGCAAACTGCCCCAGAGGGCAACAGAGGAGAGAGAAACAGATCCTGACCAGGGGGGTGTCGAGAGAAAGACTGGCAAAGAGGACACAGAACCAAACTGACCACAATGGAGCAGACCTCATTCCAGCGGTCAGACCAGGGTTTTCTACTTACTGCAGCAGTCAGCTGTGATGAGGAAGGTTGGGGCTGTGGGACTCAGTTGCCCTGGAAGAAAGAGAGAGAAAGACAGAGTGAGTTAACTCTTAGCCACCACTTACCCAAAGACTGTTCTGATTTATGTTGAACTGCTATCTGAGCTGTTTGTAGTCTGGGAGGAAACACTAGAAAATAAATGGAGCGGCTGTTTAAATTAAACACCTTGAGAGCACCTGGTATTCTTCATTTGGGATTAATTTTTTAACTCTTTCCCAACAAAGGCCTGGCAGGCAAGCTCCTGAATGAGGCAGGGAGGGACTCCATCCCCATAACACACTGCTACCTGGGCTTCACCTGCATTTTTACTGTTAAGGAGACACGTTAGAGTCTAATTTAAAACAAAAAATTAGCTCTAATCCATATCCTCATCTGGAAAAACAAGCCTCAAAGCACATACGAGAACCAGTTTAAGGATTTTGTTTATAAAAGACAGGGTGCACTGGGCTACATAACCTAATTTGAACTGGCAGCAAAGATGGACCAAAAGGCCAGAAGAGAGGATTAGAGAAGGGAAGCAGTTGTATGTTTTGTGTCAGACACAGAGAGCTCATTCAGCACCTGGGGTGGTTGGACATGGGGAGTTTGCTAACCACTGAGAGTAGTGAGGGGAAGGGAAGTCTTACCTGCTGGGCTCTCTGCACACTGAAGACGGCTAATTCTGCTCTTACTGCTGCTGCTGTATACAGCGTCTACTTGGGCAGCAGTAGCTCTATAGCACCAGCTTCCTGGGAGACTCGTTTGCTCCTCCCACCCCAGATATGCTGCAGGGCACAGGATTGCATCTGATGTGCCAAAAACTGTAGAGGGGAGGAAGCATCATTCTGCTCTCTCCACTTGTCCCTCCCCCCAACAGATGTATTGCTAGGTGTGGGGCTACATTGCCTGGCTCCAATAGCTAGACAGCACAGAGCTGCCCCTGCCATGGTCAAGACTCCCAGGGGGGATTCTGATGGCCCCTCATAGTCAGTGCCCTAGGTTGGTGCCCCACTCACCCACCTTAGTTACGCTACTGGTTTTTGTTTGGAATCTGGCTACTTCAGTGTCCAATAAGAAGTTTTTTCCATTGGCAAAAAGTTTGTTTTTACCATGTGCGAGCTAACAAATATTAAGAAATCTACCCTGTAAGCCCTTGCTATATATCTCCTTACACTCTTCAGTTTGCTTTCTAACAAAGACCTTTCAGCACTTTACAAACCATGTATGAATTTTGCTTAAAGTGTTCCCATGGCCAGTCTGATTTTGTGGAAGGTGTGATAAAATGCATTATTAAACTTTTAAAATAACATTTGATACACCTCAAGTAATTTGGTGCCCTTGATAATGAAAGGACCCTGAGCACAAAGTGGTTATAGAACAAGCTCAGAGCATTACTAAAATCTTTTAATAATTAAATGTCATTGGTCAGTTGTCCTTAGTTCGGTTTCAAGAATAATTAATTTAAGGCAGAAGCCTGGAATAAAACTATTTTACCATAATAATTTAAGCATCTATTCCATTTGAAAACAACTAAAATCATTATAATTATTATAACTAACCTATCACTAAAATAATTATAACTAAAATAATTACATGAGTTCAGTATTAATGAACCTTAAGGACTCGATTTGAAAGATTAGACACATGCTAGAATCTTTTCTTTAGCATGTTTCTTCCTTTACAATTGTTATATTCTTGTGATGTTCGGGGTGGGGGGGGAAGCGAACTAGAAACAAACAAAGCTATCAAGCTTTTAAATTATAGGTCTCTAGAAGGAAGACGAGGATCAATAACCTGTCTGAATCTCGGCCCTTTCTTCTTAGCTGAATACCAAAGGGCTTATTTTATATGCCAAAATCCTGCTGACAGCAGGAAAACATCGCTTCCGGTGGTTAATTCAGAACCCCCCACCCTGTGGACATACTCTGCTTCCACAATTCAGGGAGTTGGTGTAACTGAGGGAAGAAAAACTCCTTTCAGTAGTATACATTGCATCTGCACTAGAGGGCTCTGCTGCCTTAACTGTAACAGCGCAACCCCTATCATTTATTTGCAAGCTGAGTGCAAAGAGATACAAAACTAACATTCTGATCTAGCAGCATTTCACACCCACTTAGGCTGATGAAAATGAAAATCTCAAGTGCAGTACCATGCAGAATCAGCCCCAAGCATTTTTAAAAGCCATTTTGGAAAAACACCTACCTACCTTCTCATCTGAGATGATTTATATTCTCCCCTTAATTTATATGCTCATTCAGAGTTGCAGTAGGTGTGTAATCTCTCTAATGGGCTCAGGCAGCTGATCTCTTCAAATCTGCAGCAGTTGGGGCCTTGTTGAATTGGGTGGCAATATGTTCTGAGGCACTGTTCTCATAAAGCAGTTACAGAATGCACTCAAGCCTGCAAGAAGCAGACCCAACTGCTCACAGCAGTACTTCAGTTATTATGGCACTTGCCCATCTTTTTATACAAATTGGAAATACCAGGCAAGTTTGCATTGCATCCATCCATTGTCTACTAGGTCTGTCATCAATTAAGGAAAAAAATATGCCTCATTAGCATAGCATATGTTCAGCCTGGTGATACAAAGAGCATCAATATGGATCTCACTGTGGTAATAGAACAGCTCTCACCCATTCCAGTAGGTAATCCCATCACTACCACGGAGAAGGTGATCATGTATAATACAGATTGGTTTGAAGATGTTATGAACACAGATAGGCTGGCATAATTCAAAAGATGTCTGAGATCAGTGTTCCATTTGCTTGGACTTGCACAGACACATGCAGGGTGAATACACC